ATCTGATTCTTGACAAAGGGGCCAAGAATATACACTGGAGAAAAAACAGCCTGTTTGGTGCTCAGCAAACTGGATATACATATGCAAAAGAGAGAGACTAGAACCTATCTCTCACCTTATATAAAAACTAATTCAAAACAGATCAAAGGCCTACACATAAGAGCTGAAACTTTGAAACTGCTGGATGAAAACAGGGAAAACACTTGAAACTATCAGCATAGACAAAGACTTCCTAAATAGGACTTGAAAGGCATAGGAAATGATGGCAAGTATCAAGAATTGGGACTATATCAAATTAAAAAGTTTCTGCACAGCAAGAGATACAACTACCAGAGTGAAGTGACAGCTTAGGAAACTTAACCCCCTCTTAAAAATCTCAATCAATAAATAGGAAAATGAACTGAACAGACACTTCTCAGAAGCAAGAATGGCCCATAAATATATGAAAAATGTTCAACATCTTTAGCCTTCAGGGAAATCCAGATCAAAATAACACTGAAACTCCATCTCACCCAAGTCAGGATGACTATCATCAAGAATACTAAAAAAACCCCAAACAATTAAATAAATAAATAAATAAATAAATAGAAATAAATACTGGCAAAGATGTGAAGGGGAAAGGACCCTCCTACATGGTTGGTGAGAATATAAATTACTACCAAATCACTACAGCCCCTATGGAAATCAGTATGGAGTTTTCTCACAGAAACCAAAAATAAAACTATCAAATGGGCTACCTATACTACTCTCTGGTATATCCCTAAAGAAATTAGTCAGCCTACTATAAGGATAACTGCATATCCTTTCTAATTGAGGCACAATTCTCAATAGTCAAGATATGGAAGCAGCCTGGTTGTTCATCAGTGGATTAATAAGGGAAACATGTATGGAGTATTAGCCATCCATTAGGAAGAATGAAATTATGTCATTTACAGGAAAATGGACGGGACTGGAGATCATCATATTAAGCAAAATAAGCCAGACCAAGAAAGACAGCTATTCCGTGTTTTTCTTAAAATGTGGAATCTTTAAAAAAAGAAATGGCATGGATTACAAGGGACACTATTATTAGACTACAGGAAGGAGATAAGGGTGGGGAGGAGAGCAATAGGGAGAATGAGGATGATCAAAACATGATATATACTACATTAAACCCAATATACTACACTAAACCCAATATTTTGTAAAATTAATCGGCATTAATGAAATATACTTAAAATTATTTTAAAATGAGTCATAAAAGAATGAAGAGAAGGAAGAAAGGAAAGAAGAAAGGAAGAAAAAGAAAAGAACCAACTTTGAGAGCTGGGTGTAAGACCCAGATGAGACTTAGCACAAGTAGTGCCATCTTGTTACAAACCCTCCATCTTGTCCCTGTGGGTTTTGAGTTCACTAAAGGACACTGAGCTCCCAGAATGTACTTGTTTATCTGTTAAGACACCATGGAATGTACCATTGTTTCTGTGAAAAGAACATCCTGTTAGATAAGTAAGATAAGTACAGAACATCTGCAAACTCCCCTAACCATCTGCAAACTCCCCTAACCGTCCCCTAACTGCAAAAATTCCACTTCTGTAGTGCTGCTTGCTAAGCTTCCCTGCAGCCCCTATAAAACCTTCCAACCCCCTGAGCTCGGGGCCTCTCTAAGCTTGTTTGCTTGGAGGGTGCCGTCTGGCCAGACTAATAAAGGTCTGTTTTACTTTTCCAACTTGTCCGGTGTGTTCCCTCCCGGGTGTTCTTCGCTGCAGTCAGCTCCTCAGAGCGTTTGGTAAGGCCCTCGGTCTTACACTGGGGGTATGCCTCACTAAGTGCCTGGTTTGCCATATCCCTAAGGATTCAATCCCCAGTACCAAAAAGAAAGAAACAAACAAAAATAAAGAAATAAACAAAACTGAACTGGATGAATATAGAAAATAAAAGATCAATTTGTTGGACAAAGAGAAAGTATAAAGAAGAATAATGAGGGAGATTACAAAATATGCACTGAAACCCAATATTTTGTAAAATTAATAAGAACCAATAAAAAAATTTTAAATGAAACTAAAAAAATAGCATTTCAATGGCATAATGGCTGGATTGTGTTCTGTGTTGTTTGGTGAACATTCTTGAAAAACTGAGATATTTAATCACATAGAATGTGATTTTGCACAATGTATATATTTAACTACTTGTGTTCCTATTTAAAATGTAATTGGATTAACACTGCATAAATCATAATATCAAGTCAAAGCCATGAGTATAGGGCTCAATGAATAAATAAAAAGCAATGTTTTCTGACTGCAAAAAAAATTTTTTGTGGGACATACCTACAGTAATGCTAAGAGAGAAATTTATAGCTAAATACCTGTGAGAAAACAACAAGAAAAATATCTCAAATCAGTAATCTATGTACCCTTTTCAAGGTTCTAGCAGGAAAAATGCAAAATAAACCTAAAATAAGCAGAAGAAAGGAAATAATGTAGTAAATCAGAATGCTGAATATACTGAATATATTCCCTCATGCAATGACAAGTGATCACAATCATTAAATTATATTTCTGCCCTCCCTCAAGCAGGCAGTTTACTATTGTAAGCATTAATTTCACTGTGTATATTCCTTTACTCAATAAAATACACTTGATCTTAGCCAAAAGGCTGAGAAGCAATACTATATAAAATAAATTCTTCCACTATTCCCAATAATATGTTCTTCATTCTCTGTCACAAAAACAAAAATTTTTAGCACACTCCTATATTTTCTGGAAATATTTCAAAATTTGTTAAAGGCAAAATAAGAGAGTCTGGTGAGAGCCTTCCAAAGCAAGCTGTGGGCCCTGACCACGTGTCAATACCGCAGGGGACAGGAAGCAGAGGAGAGCCTGCCATCCCTAAGAGAAAAAGTGGAAAAAACAGTCTGACTCATTTTGCTTGTGTGGCATAACAACTCTGCCCACTAGGAAAACACAGCCAACTGAATGCCACCCTGTGCCGGCTCTATCTATGCCTCAGAACCAGCCAGTGTGACGGCTTACTCAAGCCCCATTCAAGCCAACAAAATGCAAGAATTAAGACACTAAAGATGACCCAAACACATTTTTTAAATGTCACTTTATTCCTATTCAGTATTCAGATGAGCCGAAGGATTTTTTGAACGTCATTTTTTTCCTACTCAGTTGTTGCTTGCAGTTAGACCTCTGTGGAGGGCGAGCTGCCTTTGAGCATTTATCTGACCGTGCTGGCCTGCACTGGGCAGTGATGGAGCACAAAGACCAGGAGCATGACACCAACTTCTGTAGGACGATCTTGGCATCTGTTTCTGCCTCAGCGTGGAGACTAATCTGACTCTGCTGTTCCCTATTCCTGTGCATACCTGACCTGCAGCTGATGTGGTAGCTATTATACACTACCTCTCTGGTAGCTATTACAAACTAAACAAGCACCATTTTCAAACAAAGAAATTTTAAGCAGAGATTGCCACAGAGTTGCACATTCTTTTCTGTGCAAATTGTGTTCTGGGAAAGGGGCACTGATAAGTATTTTTTTATTCTGAAAAAGAGTAACAGTTTATTGCCATCATCTGTTCCCTTGAAAAGGACAGATTTTTATGCAATGGTTATGGTGCCTCCCCAAACATCAGATGAGCCGCTCTGTTAGGGAGTCACAAGGAGCCAGATCTAGAGAAAATTAGGTACTCTACCCTATGACACTACTCATCATAAGAAAGGATCAGAAACTCTTACTCAAAAGAAATAGGAGGAAAGATCTGTACCTGTCTCATTTCCTCCTCCCTAAGGAAATATATGGTGGTGTCATAATTAACTAACTTGGTGTAAGACATAAGCAAAGTCGGAAGAAGCAACATTGTGGTAGTCAGCTTTCAGTCACTGTTACAAAATACCTGAGATAAACAACTTAAAAAGAGGAAAGGTTTATTATGTCTCATGGTTTCAGAGGTTTTGTTCCATGATCAATTTCCCTGTTACTTTAGGTGTACAGTAGAGACTCATGGCAGAGGAAGCCTGTTTACCTCACAGCAGTTGGGAATCAGAGAGAAAGGAGAAAAAGGCTAGGGTCCCATTATGTCCTTCAAGGGCACACCCTCAATGACCTCACTTCCTTCACTAAACCCAATTCCTAAAGCTCCTGACAGCACCACAAGCTGTGACCAATGAGCCTTTACCCCATGAGCCTTTGGGGGACCCATATCCAAACATAGCAAATATGTAAATAGGGAGAACCTCAAGTTAAACTAATTTGGTTGAAGACACTAAAGATTTTGCTTGATTTTTAAGTCAAGCAGGAAAGATACTGTTGGGAGATCATGGATCATGCAGCAGGTAGCAACAGTTCCATCTGCATCCCAACCTGTTTACAATTTTGTCAAAGACAAGAAAAGAACACAAGCAGAGCATGTTAAATACCATTAAAGCAAGGTATTATGCAGGTAATACTCTCATTTGTAGCATAAGCTTAGAAGTACTTTGCCTAAATCTGACGAAGATTCCCTCAAAAGTGTGCTGAGCTGAAAGTAACAACAACAACAACAAACTAGTAAACAGGAAAAATCAGCTTTAATTATTGCAAATGAGGAGGCCCTGCCCTGTCAGGTAACTGCGTGTCTACAGGAGGGCATGCTGGGTATGAAGCAGTATCCAGGCTCCTCTAGAGGCAGGAGGATTGCAAATTCCTGGGAAATTTAGGAATTCAGTGAGGCCCTGTCTTAAAATAAAATATAAAATGGGCTGAGGATAGAGCTCAGTGTGAAGGCCCTGGATTCGGTCTCCAGTAATACCACAGAAAAACAAAAACAAAGACCTTCAGTTGGAGTGGTTACCATGGTAAGTACCAGTAACCCCAGCTGCTTGGGAGGTTGAGGAAGAAGGGCTGTGAGTTCCAGGTCAGCCTGAGCAACTTAGTGAGACCTGATCTAGGGAGGAAGGAAGAAAGAAACAGGGAGGGAGGGACAGAAGGGAAGGGAAGAAAAGGGAAGGGACGGGGAAAGAAAAAGGACTCTGGACGTCTTTATGATTCTCTTGACTGTTTTTTGCAATATTTTGATTGTGGCCACAGAGTGATTACCATTATTATCTCAAAATAACTTCCAGTAACAACTGATATATACATCTTTTTGTTGTTTATTACAAGAAAAACTCTTCCCAACAATGCAAGAAGCCTTCATCTGTACTCTATTGGGATCCATGTAAGTCATGAGCCTCCTTTTCCATGTGGATGGGCCACTGGGAAGTTAGACTTTGCAGTGGTATGTGATTTGCTCAGTTTTCTGAAAAGAACAATAGAGGGGGAAAGGCAGAGCCAACAAAAAGAAAAGAATACTCATTTATACATAGGACTCAGCATGTGGGCATTTTATAAATGTTTGCTAAAATAATGATTTTTCAAATGACATTTGACTTTTTTGTCCCAACATTTTGATTTACAACTTAATCAACTAATATTACAACAGTGATCATGCACTGAAAAAAATTGATTCTAAGAGTGATTTTTTATTTTTATAACATCATGTAATTACTGTCTTGTATCAGTGTAATTCAATTATAAATACTTGACTTTGAATAATATTCTACTGTATTATTTAAAGCACATTTAATTTCTTGCCACCAGGAGTTCAGTTTCTCCCCTGAAGTCCTCCTGCTGCTTAAAAATATATATGAAACGATGAGTGAAAGAGATGTCTTCAACATTTTGTTCAATGTAAATAATCTTTTAAAAAATCCTTTTAAAACTATGATCTGACAAAATTTCCAATCTTTCAACTCCTTCAAGTAACAGTAATAATATTTGCTTACCTAAAGTAATTTTATAAGGAATCATTAATCTTCTAAAATGCTTTGATAGGTTAAAATGAATGACCCCATATAGTATGAACCTCTCTACCAGTTTCAGGTTAATTTCAATGTCAGTGGCAGCATGTGCTTTATCAAAGTAAAACATTTTCCTCACTGCTGATACTTCTTAGCTTTTTGCTCTTCTCCACTAATTTTTGTTTCCACCCTTTATTTAGTAAACAGTGGTAGTAAAATGACCAGGGAGAGCACTATTCAAATCTGTTATAATGAAACACTGAATTCTTTTTAATTTACCTAATTTGGCAGTATCCTTTGTACAATTTCACCCAACTATTACAGCAATCTTGCTAGTCTACTTTTATATTCATCAGACAAGAGTCATCTGCAAACCAATGGTGGAATTTTCCTGGCTACTGTCAGTTTAGAAATATCCTTGACAAACAGAAATCCCTTGAAGCCTTTTTCTAATGACAGTTTCTGGTTTGTTTTTCCTTCTGCTTTGTTTTTCTTTTGTTTTCTCACAGATAGTTTCTCCTTTGTCATTTGACTGGAAGGAAAAGCTCAATGGTAGTAGCAAGGCTAGTACACAGAAATCCTGCTCGGTTTCTTTAACTGACAACTGTGTGACACTCACATCTCCTTCCTATTCCTTCCCTAAGTATCTGGGGTTCTTACTTTACTCACTTTCCTCACCGGGAGATGCATCCCACAGACATAACAAATTCAAATCAAATTTCTTATATTTTTGAAAGAAACAAATGTCAAAATAGCTTCTATAGTATGTAAAAGATTTGATACATTTTACTTTGAAAACATTCTACCATTTAAAGAAAATGTAGCAATGAGATTTTCGAACCTGTTCAAAGAAAGGGCAATTGTGTTGGTGAACACCACGTAACATGAAGGTTTGATCAAACAATTTTTTCAATATAAAACTCTCTGACTGCTTCATGGTCCAACGTCCAAAATAGGCTGCTGGAGTTCATCTGTCACACCTCCATACTAGGATGGAGGAAGGGCAAAAACCAAAAGGGACTGTTTCCTTTAGTCGCCTTCCCAGAAGTCCTTATAACAGGTATGCTTACACCTCTTCAGCTACAACTTCATCATACAGTTGTGCCTATTGGCCCAGAGGTTTGGAAAATGGACTCACATATCTGTTCACGTTAGTGTCCAGAATAAAATCAGGATTCTGTTATTATAAATAAGAGAGAAGATAGTGAGTGGAAATTGACAGCTGTGTCATATCTATTATATTCGGTGGTTTTGTGGGAAATGTCATGGAACCACTGAAAATAATGAATGGGAGCTCTGCCAGTAGGCTTTGGTTGTGTATCTGGGAGGATTTCCACAGGGACTGTTAAGTGAGAGAAGCCAGACATATAAAAGTGATCATACATAATTTCATTTTTGGAAAATAATTTCTTGAACCCAGGGCATCATACACACTAGGCAAGCTCGCTACCACTCAACTCCATCCTGAGGCTCAACTATTTTTTTTTTTTTGAGACTAAATCTCACTAAGTTTCCCAGGTTGGCTTCAAACTTGTAATCCTTCTGCCTAAGCCTCCCAAATAGCAGGGATGGCAGATGTACACCATGGCATCTGGCCAGAGAGTATGTTTACATATATATGTATATGTATGCATATGTTACATAAATATGGGAATATAGGAACATCGCAGAAAGATATACAATAATTTGCTACCATGTGCTTTATAGGTAAGTGGAAAGAGAATGAGCATCTTTTTATTATTTCACTTGTTATAATAGGTGTTACTTTTGTCATTTGGAAAACAAAAATTATTCTTGAAAATGTGATCCAATCTTAATAAAACCTTCTAACATGCATGGCACTTTATCGGTAAAGCAGTCTACAATGGAGCCTATCCTCAGTACAAAGACCTCAGTATAAAGCAGTTTACCTAACTTGCTTTAAAATACATATTTATTTAGCTAAATTATTTATTTGGAAAGCATGTTAGTTAGTTTAGAAAGAACATGATGCTCACTTTGAGCTAATGAATGTTTACAAATGTTTACAAATGTTTATAAATACTTAGATATGATTATAAGGTAGAATAACATCACAATAGATATCAATGAATTATCTAATGTTTACAAAATTAAAGAAAACCACACTTACATTTATGAAACGAAACAAAATATCCTTTATGAACTGTATTTAATGTTTACCTATTTAATTCCACTTAGGCCATGAATCTTTCATGAATAAAATCCTGTTTGGGAATTACCCACACCTTTCAAGAATAAATCATTCTCCTGTCAACTTGCCTTCGTCAAAATTTCATGAGGGGAAAAAAATCTCAAAAATCAAGTACAACAACATCTCATTATAAATTATACTTGGTCCAGATATAATAAAGGACATGATGAATATTAAAGATTAAATTAATCCTCTATCTACCCCAGCTGAATGTGAATGTCTCTTTGGCATGGAAAATGGCCAGTGTAGTGACCTGAAGGGAAAAATCCTCATGGTCAGCGATGCTAAGACATCATTTTTCCTGCACTGCAAGGTCAAAAACATTTTCTGTGTCTATTACAGTTTTTAATAATGATTTTATAATAATTCTCAAATTTTAAAATTCAAACTTAAATGCAAATAGTTCATTCAATAATGGCAATATTTGACTTTTGCCTTCACTGTGGCCAAATATTGATTTGCCATTACTAGGTCATTTGGAATCTGGACAAAAATGTATTAAGTGGACCACTTAATGGAACTCTCATGCTGGATAAACAGTGTGCTTTACTGCAAAAGGTCACCCAGGAACACTAATGAGCATAATAATGACCCAGGGTGATTTTAATAAATGTCACTACCTCTCTAAATACTGTGTAAACCAACTGCCCATTAGTTACTTAGCAGTGAGAGTTCTCAACTTAGTAAGGAAAGAAAAAAATTGGATATTGCAGTCACTAAGGTTTATAATACAGTAAAATATCTTGAGAGCCCAAGTTCACATAACTTTTATTACAGTGCATTGTTGTAGTTTTTCTATTTTATTATTATTATTGTTGTTAATCTCTACCTGTAACAAATTTACAAAATTAAACTTTATCATAGGTATGTATGTATGTATGAATAGGAAAAAAAGGTATATATGGGGTTCGGGACAATACACAGTTTTAGGCATCCACTCATGTAAGATCTTAGAACATTTCCCCTAAGGCAGAATACTTTAGAATGCTCCCTCAGTATTTGTCCTGAATCAAAACAGGGCACTAAGAGCTTTTTCTACATACCCTGGGTTCATGCTTTAAGAAACACTGTAGTAATAGAGAAATTAAATTTAGTCATCACTATTATAAGGTATTTTCAGGTTTCCGTAAGGGTAAGTGTGCAAATTGCCTTGAAAAAAATGCTGTAGTTTTAGTAAATTAAAATAAGAACAATAAGCAAGGATGTTATTAAATTCCTAGTGTTGTACCACATATTTTTTATTATTGTAAAGTAGCTAAGTAGATAAACCTGCGAGCCTACTTTTAAAAAAGTTTTAGCTGTTTTGCAAGGGTAGGTGGTGTTTTTTCTCTGTCAGAGGTGGGAGTATAATCAGAGTTGACGGTTGACATACAAGGATAGAGAGAGGATTCAAATCAGAAAGTAGTGAGCAATTACACCCAAGGACCACAAATCCAAATCTACAATGATTTTTCATGGCTTCCAACTCCTAACTTCATGTTTCAGTTAAGTGAAAGCAGCCATCCAAGTGATGTGCTGAAAGTCTGGTCAGAGCTAACATAGAAGAGCTTAGTTTCCATTTCAGAACCTATATATTGAAATGAAACCCCAAATGCAAACAATACATCTCAGTCATATTGTAAATCATATTTTTCTGTGATGGTTCTCTCAATCTTTAGCCAAAACTGGATCTGGGACAGATTCTAGGCCAGGACAAAAATTCCACACTTCCCATCCTTTATTTTGCCTTAAAGTGAATTCTCCAGTTAATCACCGGGGAACTCGAAATTCTCTGATTCACTGGTCATTAATCAACTTGACCAAGTAATTTCTAAAATATCCATCAGCTTTGTACCTTCCTGATATTCCCGCAGAATGTGGCTTTTTTATTTCAGGAACTATGGACATAAGAAGGTCTTTGAAAAGCTAGACCTGCAGCCAGTTTGATAGCAAGGAAGCTGCGCATCTCTCTTTGAGTTGCCCACGGTTGTAGTGTAAGACCGAGGGCCTCACCAAACGCTCCGAGGAGCTGACTACAGTGAAGCACACCCAGGGATCCCAGCAGACCCAGGACTCAAGTTCAGGGATTCAGAACCGTTAGAAAACAAAGCCCCCGCAGCTCTTCCAAAACCCTCCTGGATCGATGTGTAGTATGGATTAGAGGAGAGGAGGCTACGCAAAATAGTGGGGCCCTTCCTTCTGACATTCGGCTTCTGAGTGGGGTGAATTCCTATCATGTAGTGAGATCACTGAACCTCAGGCAGGCGACCTTGGTTCCAGACACCAACGGACCACGTGTTTTAGTAAAGCAACCAGGACTAAATGCCTCAGTCGTGGCTCCCCAACATCAGCTCCTCTTCTTACCTCACTCAGTTACACACATTAAAGGCAATAATGTAGGGGAAATCGCTTTGGACAGTTTCGGGACCACATAAAGGTTCGACATGATCACTGATGATCTTTAGGTCGCCAGTTTCCTAAAGGTTTGCTACGTACCAAATAAAAGCTGAACGAATCCAGCTCAAGACTGCGCTCCTACTTCCCCGCGCGAAATCGTGGACGCCCGCGCGAAATCGCGCTCCCCAGAGGTTTTTCCGCGCAGGCGCAGGCTCGGTCCCAGGAGCTCACCTCTTAAAGGGCGCGCACAGGGGTCAAGAGCCTGGGCTCTCTTGGAAGTGACGGAAAGAGAGACGAAGCCGGAGAACGCGGGGGGCGTTTACTTCCGGGGCCAAGGGAGATTCACTTCCGGGAGTAGCCGGCGCCGCGAGTATCAAAGAATAGGTAGGGCCGTGGGGCCACGTCCTGGCCCGGTGGCCTCGGTCCGCCTAACCAAGAATGAAGATCACTAGGCAGAAACACGCCAAGAAGCATCTTGGCTTCTTTCGCAATAATTTCGGAGTCCGGGAGCCGTACCAGATTCTCCTGGACGGCACTTTCTGTCAGGCGGCGCTGCGGGGCCGCATCCAGCTGCGGGAGCAGCTGCCCCGCTACCTGATGGGGGAGGCGCAGCTGTGCACGACCAGGTGGGCCCACGGGCGGGGACGGGGCGCCGGGCGTCTGACGGGAGTGGCGGGGACGGGCCGCTGCTCCAGCCCTAGGAGGACCCGCGGCGTGCCGGTGCCCCGTCCCTAGGAGTTGACTGACAAGTGCTGGCCTGAGGAAGTTGGCCAGGTTCCGTCCGAGTAGACCCGATGCGACAGGGGTCTTTAGCCGGCCAATTAGAACAAGGGTTGTGGAGGCAGGTGCATCACGTGTCTTTAGCCTGGCCAATTGGAACAAGGGCTGTGGGACCTGACTTCGAATAGTAGTCTCAGCTTCGCCACCCCTCTGATTTTGGGCAAGTTAATCTCAGAGCTTCGGATAGCTCGGTTGAGGTGTGTAGTGTATCCAGAGCAGTTTTCAGTGTCTAAAACCAAGCCTTCTACTTTTCCCAGTTTAAACCAAAAAATTTCAAGCCTCACAACTGCCCAGTGAGGTAGCATCTTCAATTCCCAAGAAAAGAAGTAAAAACTGGAGATTAAGAAATTTGCCCAAGGCCATTTATTATTACTCAACTGTCTTTGTTAAATACCAACCACATGCCAAGCGCTGCTGCAGCCGTTGGGGATACCAGAACAGAATCCCAGCCCTAATGTTTCCCCACTTCATCCTGGTGTGAGAACACTTGAGATGGAACATTGTGGTGGTGGTAAAGGAGGGAGGAGGGAATTATGGAAGATTTCAGAGAGGAGATAACATCTGAGCCCGTTCTTTTGTTCTGTTCTGAGGGAAGGACTATTTGGAATGACAGAAAACAGTGACATTCCTTGTTTTGGAGACTTGTTGATCAAATGGAGTCGTTGAATGCCTGGGGAAGAGGTTACTGCACAGAGTATGATTGGAAATGAAACTAGGAGAAAGGTGAATTGAGGTTAGATCATGAACTATCAAGAAATTTAGTACTTTTTTCTCCTTGTAGAATATTTATTTTAAAAAGGCAAAAAAAAGAATTACAATAACTCAATATACTACTCACAAGTAAGCAACTAACATGTACTTAGCGTCCATTGAGTTCTTTACAGACTTGCATGTGGCTTTCGATATATATATGTTATGCTGATAGTTTGCTTTTCTTATATAACATGACTCCATGAACAATTCTCTTTATTCAGAATTCCTCCAGCAGTGCCTCACTGGACTGTACATATAGTTAAGATTCTGATCCACTTAACCTTCGGTGCTGCCCAACAAGGCCTTTACTAACCTGTACCCCGGAATTGGTTGTTTCTGGCTACAGTTTGTCCCTGTACCCCTGGGTGCCTTGGAAATATTGACATTTTAATAGATAGTGCTATGGTATAAAAGAAGGTTGAAAATACTACATGAACACATATTTTACAGCTTTTCATTTTCCTCAAGAACTTCTGGAGTTTTTCAAACCCAAAAGTAGAATAATTTAGTGGAGCATCTATCACCCAGCTTTTGCAGTTACCAACATGGCCAGTCGTACAGTATTGCTCACCCTACCCCCTTACTGAAGGTTTATTTTATTTATTTATTTTTTTAATTAATTAATTTATTTATTTATTTTGTACCGGGGACCGAACTCTGGACCTTACACTTGCAGGGCAGGCGGCAGCACCACTGAGCTAAATCCCTGGCTATGAAGGGTTATTTTAGAGCATACTGTATTCTATCAATTTTCAAGAATTGAATCCTTTTTCAGTTCAGTGTATTTCTTGGCCACTAGTAGTTAGGTCTAGAGCAGTGATGGCAAACCTTTTACAGAGGAGTGCCCAAACTGCAACCCAAAACCCACTTATTTATGGCAAAGTGCCAACACTTCAATTAAACCTGAGTTTAAACTGAGGTTTTAGTTTAGAGAAAACAATTCCTACATTCCCGGATTTTACTGTCTGGGGGGGTCCTGGAACCATTTCTTTCCCCAAGGATATGGAGGATTGGCTGTGTTTGGCTCTATAACAGGTGCAGATTTGGGGGTCAGAGAGGAGCTAGAAATTAATACAGTTTAATATCATTATCTCATTCTGGTGGGTTATTTATATATGATATTGTTGAGAAATACTGTCTTATATTAATATGAAAATGCAGATTGAAAAGAGATGGTGATTATTTTTAAACAACTTGATGAGAAACTGAGAAATTTTACTTTTCTGAATTAAAAATATTCGTGTTTGTGCTTAATGTAGAAGTTTATTGTCTTGTAGCTGGTGTAAGGAACCTGTTGTCAAACTAGTTGGATTCATGTTTCAGCTCTATAACTTACTAGTTTGCATTTGAGCATGTTACTTGAAATCTCTCAAAGTGAGGTGCTCCGAAATAAGGATAATTATAAAGTAAGCACCTATTTTCTTGTGATATTTTGAGATTAAGAATTTATGTGAAGAGCAGTCATGCTGCCTGACACATAATATGTGCTCAGTAAATTTTAGCATTCATAATTGGTCTTTCTACTTGGTACATGCATTTTCCAAGTCTTTTTTTGAAAGTAAAATGGCTACCATATGACAAATTCACATTACAGTAGGATAGTTTTACATTTAAAAAACTTGAGTATTCTGTTTTATACTTGCTTTATGTAAACAAAAAAACTCTATTATAATTATTGGCCACTAATAGCCTTTTTTTTCTCCTCTCCAGATGTGTATTAAAGGAGTTAGAAACGTTGGGAAAAGACTTATATGGGGCAAAACTAATTGCACAAAAATGCCAAGTTCGAAACTGTCCCCATTTCAAGAATGCAGTGAGTGGATCAGACTGTCTGCTTTCCATGGTTGAAGAGGGAAATCCTCACCATTATTTCGTGGCAACACAGGTGCTACTCTACTGTAACCATTTCTGTGTACTTTTCATATGAAGCTACTGATAATCATAAAATTATTAAGTGGAAGTGATTTGTTAAATGTTTAGCTTTTAATTTGCAGTCAATAAAAGCATTTGTCTCTAGAGAATATGAACAGAGACTCTTTAAGTATGCTGAGTGTCTTCATAGTAACTGAAGGTTTTTTTGGAGAATGAGAACTGATTGACAGAGATGTGGTGATTTGTTTTAGGGTTCATCAAGAAGATGAGCAAAGATTTAATATTCTGTGTTCATAACTATTTTCTCATGTTTGTGTAATTCATACTATTTCTCCAAAAGTTGTGACTCATCTCCTTTAAGACTGTAGCACTGGAATGGACTCTTGTAGGTTTTTAACTGATTGGGACACAAGAGAAGAGAGACCTTTAGTGTTACATACTGATTTGAAAAATAAAATATGTGATATCTTCTCTTCTTAATACAACCATCTTCAAGGAACCTATTTAAGGCAATTTAATTGACATAGTTAATCTAAATAATTCTATTTTTCTTTTTAATAGGATCAGAATTTATCTGTGAAAGTAAAGAAAAAGCCTGGAATTCCTCTCATGTTTATTATTCAGAACACTATAGTCTTGGACAGACCGTCTCCGAAAACAATTGCCTTTGTTAAAGCAGTGGAGTCGGGTCAGCTTGTCTCAGTGCATGAGAAAGAAAGTATAAAGCAACTCAAAGAAGAACAGGGTTTAATGAAAAATCCTGAGCAGAGAAGAAGAAAAAAACGCAAGAAAATAAGTGGCCCCAATCCTCTTAGTTGTTTGAAGAAAAAGAAAAAAGCACAAGACACAAAATCACCTGTTTCTGAAAAGAAAAGAAAAAGAAAAAGAGTAAGAATCCGGAGCAGACCTACCTCTGCAGAGCTTTCTGAGAAGCAGAACCCTGAAGGATGAGGAGATGGGAAAATGAATTTACTATTACATCAGTAGAGTATTTATGACAAATGACTAAACTTATTTTGTAAGTGAATGTTGACCTCTATACTTTTGTGTACAATTACTTGTAAAATAAAAAGAGTGGTTGGGTTTAAGTGTGAGTGCTCACTTTCCTTCAGTGGTTTTGCAAGGTTAGTTTTCATTTTAAAATCACTGTCTCCTTCTGTTTCCTCCCACTGTCACCCCCAGATTTCATGTGCAAATGGTTTTAAAAGTCAAACAGTTTGAAAAGGCTTGTGGCAAAAAAATATATATATATCAAGAAAATCACGACAAAAAAATGCACCACCATTTAGACATCCAGAGGAAGCTTCCTCTGTGAACTCTTCTAGTAATTTTGGAGTTTATATTTGCACATTATACGAATATACTGCTCCCTTTTGATCCACCCATTATTGACTCCCTGCTAGAAAGAGTGGAAATTGCACTTCACACTTCTTTTTCATTATCCTAATGCATATTTTAATCTTTATATATCACACATGCAGTATTTTCGTGACTAGAGTTGAGAGAGCTTTTTAGTCTTGCCCACATGGTATTTACCCTCTTTTGTTACTCCCAACATTAATAGCTTCATCTTAGTGTCTGACTTAGCAGTCCCACATTCTCCTATAACAGTACAGGGTGTAGGGCTCTAAGCTCTTCACAGTACCACTGTCCACACGTGATCGCACTCCTTGGTTAGTATGTCAATTTTCCCTTCATGACCTCCAGTTGGAAAGTTCTCTTGGTGGTGCTCAACTATCACCTAGGCAGTCCTCACCCTGATGCATAGAACTCGGTCACATTCATTTCCCAGATTCTTTGTTTTAGTCTTGATACTCCCTTTTGCTGTAGTGGAGCATGGAGTGTCTCGGAAACACACATTTTGAGTAGCAGTATGTCCGTACTGTCTTTGTCATAATGATAATTAGCAAAATGAATGATTCTTGGTTGAAAATCATTTAACTCAGTTTTCCTTAATCTCTTTGTTTACAAGATGCTAGGAAAAAAGTCCCTTCATCTTTTTGTCCAGTGGGATGAGGATTTTCTTTTTATGTGAATTTTAGCTTTAGCCAGGTGTGGTGTACAGGAGGCTGTAATATGCCCAAAGCAGCTGTGAAGAGTCAACCCCACACTTGGCTTGTTTATAGAAGTGAGTCTGGCTGAAGCCTATGTGCTGAGGTCAGAGTAACTCATACCCAAATTCTGTTTCCACAACTGAAGCCTGACTAGAAGGACAATGTTCTAATTACAACCATATATTTTGTCTGTTTTGTTCCTAACTCGAGAATGCTTTGTCTTGTCCTTTACGAGCGTTGTTTCCCTTAATTTCCATAGAAACTGCATGTAGCTTGCCTTTATCCCAATAAAAGTCAGTGCCTGGGACTGGCCAGGGCCTTTGTTGGTTACACCGGCATTGGTCATCCTGGCACCCCACTCTCCTAGTTCTGTCTTTTAGTTTTATTTCTCAGGCCTGCGTTGTATGCTGGGTAGGATGCTAGAACCTAACTGCAGGGGTTACCAGTAGTAGTGTGCGCACCTGTAGTCCTAGCACTCAGGAGGCTGAGGCAGGAGGATCACTGCAAGTTTGAGGCTAGCTTCAGCTACATAGTTCAAGGACAGCCTGGACTACATAACGAGACCCTGCCTCAAAAAACTGTTGCAGAAATCTCGGAAAGAAATACACAGAGACACAGAATTCGGATAAAATAATAAAATTTTTTCTTGCGAGCGGACGGGCATGCCAGAAACCAGTCTGGTCAATATCTGTGCCCTTTGTTCAGCATTTCCCTTTTTATATCCTTTTTAGCCACTATCTCATCCCTAGTGGTCTTTGATATGTAAATACAATTCCAGTTCTATTTCCAAGTCACAGACACATGATAGGCCATATACATTGGAAATTCACCCTGGCACGGTAACTTCGTTAGGTTAATGAAGTTACTGGTCAGAGTCAGATAATCTTCACCTTAAACAAGGAGTTACAGGAAAAGCAAATCTTAAAAGAACACCTTATTTTGCTTCTACAACTACCTTAATATTCAATCTATTAAGTTAGCTAAAACTTTTCCATATCAAAACAAAAAAGTGGAGTAGCAAGAATCCTGAAATGATATTTTAAGATTGACTATAAACATGTTAACTGAAAAGTGTCAAAATTATTATAGGGGTCCAGTCTTTAGGAATTGAGTAAATGAACAACTCAGCCTCCCACCCCGCCCCTCACCATTATTTTAAATCATACATCCATCCAAAATTGAAATGTTTCTGTGCTGTAAGATTGAAGTATAAAGTTACCAGGAAAGTGCAATCTGACCAGTAACTTTGGACTTAATTTCCTCTAGTGCCTTAGAGCTATGTCTTGGTCTATACCAGAAGAGTGTCCTGAATAAGTACATAAAGATATCAGTGGCTAAATAAATGTTTCTGAAACATGAGACAATTCAGATTCTTCAGAAGAGTCATTTGGGCTGAATTCAGAGATGCTTTGTGGAGAGTGAAATTAGCTTTATACCAGAAAGTAATACACACACTGTTATATGTCAAGTCAATTAGATGGTGTTTGGATTATTTCATGATTCTGTTTTAAATTCTTGACAGTAGGCACATGCTTGAAAAGGAAGGCAGAGATACGGGGAAAGGTGAATATAGCTGTGTACCTCTCCTGTGAGGAAAGAGCACTTGTCAGTAATCAAATGTATGCAAAGTGATAACGCAGATGCAATGTACACTGATGATACTCATTTCAATATCTAAAATGCATAAATTTTGGGTCTTTCTTACAATGTATTTGTTCAGTGCTATCTGGTTACTTATTAATAGTATCTGAGCTAGAACTGGAGAGCTGGAAAAAAACTCATTTGCAGTAGTTACTTAAAATTATATTATTTAGCATTTTGATGCTGTGGTTATATATTTAACAAAAGAATCTAATACCCACAGTCCTTTAGTAAATGCTCCCTTTATGCCATGACCACTAAAATCATTACATTTTTTTCTCTGTAGAATTTGGGGAGGGGATCTGTGGGATTCTGCACATGAGATTATAATCCATCTTGTGGTATGGGGAACATTTTGGGGACCGCTGCTTTGGGGAGTAATACAAGCTTTGTTGGGGAGTAAAAGTGGGGTACTCTTTTTGAACCAAAAATTTCCCAATCTGAAAATAGCATTTTCTGTAGACCATTGTCTCTTAAGCATACTCCAAAATAAGTGTTCAGCAGTTGTGTTTGGATAGGATTCTGCCTTCCCTACACTTTGCAGTCTTAACAGCTCCTTCTCATTCCTTTGGAACAACTTTGCAACTGGAATTTCAAAGTTAAAAGCTTTATCTACTTATGTAAAGAATTTGGAGGGTTTTTCTCTGTAGGTAAGAAGATGGTTGTGATTTGATAAATTTGTTTTTCATGAGTGAGTAGGATAGAGTTTTAAAAAATGCTATTTTACTGTACTATAACTTTCCTTAGGAATTCTTAGTTTAGGTGTAAGCGAAAAAAAAGATTGCTTATACTAATTCAAAATTATTGAAAGTCATGGCTAACTACAATGCATCTATTTTGTTTCTATGTACCTAGTATGTGATGTTAACTTGGCTCTTTATTTCTTAAACAGTTCTACCCGAATATTCCTTAGAGGAACATGAAGTTTTCCCCAAGAGGGCTAGGAAGTGACTCCCACTCAAAAAATGTCAAGTAAAATGATAGCCTGAGATTTTATACCAAGTTAATCCCATGACCTCTGTGTATCCTCTTAGATGCTATTTTCTTCCTGTACAACTAGATTTCTGCAACTGGTTAATTTTACCATTTGGAAAAGATGCCTATGACCAAGATGTCTTATGTCAGTAGTATCAGTTTAGGCTCCAAACTAGACAATGCACTCATAAAATATTTCTTGAATAACTACTTTGTAGAAACCCGAAAATTTACATCTTAAGTATACTTAAGGAGTTTTTGGTCTAGTAGAATACCTAAGAATAGTGTTAAAAAGGAGGCAGATAAAACTCTTTACATATACCTATAATGCAACAGATACATAGCCATTTCATACTAGAAACCATCTTACAAAATAGACGATATGCTGGACTCAGTGCACACCTGTAATCCCAGCACTTGGGAGGCTGAGGCAGGAAGATCACTGTGAATTCAAGGGCAGCATGAGCTGCATAGACTCCATCTCAAATCAAATAAACCCCAAATAGATGATATTTAGTATTATAGACCCAAACTTCCTTACTGACTCTTTCATTACTAGAATGCCAAAATACCACTAGTTCACATTCTAGTTTGTTGCTTTGATTCAATAATCCCCCATTGAATTAGCGGCTTATAGTGGTCAGGTGACAGATAAATTGAATTACACATCAAGTTTCAATCCAATGGGCTCATTAGATTTGTATTTTCTCCAGGCCCAGAACATATAATTGTTAGACACACTTGGGAACTTTTTGTGTCCCCATATTGATTCTCTCATTTATGGGCTAGTGGAAATTATTGGACTATCCTATCCTATCAGGATAGTGAACCAAAAAATTGGATGTTGTTGGAGGAATCACAGGGATTTTTATTACTATCATCATCATCAACTTGAATGAGGCAGAAGTGTTGCTTCCTATTACATCTTCATTTGTATCTAGTGGGCCTGGGAAGAAAGTAGGTGGATCTTAAAATATGATTGGATTGTTCTAACATTAATCAGGGTTGATTTATTGACAATGGTTTTTCCAGATATAATATCTCTGCTGGAACAAATCAGCACACCTGAACCCGATATGGAAAATGTTTTTACCTCCTTCTTAGCAGTTTGCTTGGACTACAAAAAGAACTTTACTTTTACTTGACAGGGTCCCTAGAACAAGGTCACAGCCTTGCTCAATGCCTATGGCAGTTGACCAACTCTCACTCATAGTAAAGTCTGTGGAGATGTTTTATTCATTTATTTAGGCTTTTTGAGGCAGGGTCTCGCTGTACAGTTCAGACTGGCCTTGAACTCACTATGTAACACAGGCTGGCCTCAAACTTGTGGCAATCATCCTGCCACAGTCTCCGGAGTGCTGGGATTACAGGCATGCACCGCTATGCCTAGCTTGGAGAGATCTTGGTCATCTTGACAT